AAGGAAGGAAGGAAGGAAGGAAGGAAGGAAGGAAGGAAGGAAGGAAGGGAGATTATAATGAGAATGAGGGAGAATCTCAGGCGGGGGTGGGCTTCAATTTTTTTAGCAAGGGGCTCTCTGCCCTAATGACTGACTGGGTGGGCGTGGCCAGGTGGTCATGTGGCTGGGTGGGTGTGGCCAGGTAGTCATGTGAACAGGTGGGCGTGCTAGGTGGTCATGTAACTGAGTGGCTGTGGCCAACTTGACGTCGCTTCTTTGCCCTAATTACCTAAAAAAAAAGGATATATACCAAAAAGTTGTTCATTATTTTGTGCCTTTAATTTAATACTTAAATAAAAGGCTGGGTGAAACCAAGCTTAATAGCCATGACTGTGAGAGGGATTTTGGAGTCTTAGTGGAGTTTCTGGTGAGTTATGTGATTCTTATTATTTGGGAATTAATCCCCTTGGAGGGTAGTGGCTATGTCCTCTGATTTTCTCAATGGCTCTCCCTCACAAGCACTGAGTGGGTTGTTTATTTAGATTGCAACACTTTTACAAGGTGTGAAATGCTCTTGGCTGAATGCCCAGAAGTTCAGTTAAGCCTATTAAGAGCTTTCCCTTGCTGCTTGTCTTTCTGAGGTTATTGGGGGGCTCTCTGAGCACTGCAGAGTCTTAGCTAGGGGCTCTGCCGAGCCCTTGTGAGCCCCCAGCGGCCCACCCCTGATCTCAGGGAAGTCCTGCCTTAGCACTTGGCCACCACCAGTGCCCCCGACATGAGTCACATCATGTATCACACCCACCGTGGCCATGCCCCACATCCCCACATCCTCCCGGCCCTCCGACATCAAACACAGCCCTGATGGGGCCCTCAATGAAATCGAGTTTGACACCCATGACCCATGTGTTTCCTCAAGGCCACCATCGGAGAGAAGAATCCGTCGTTCTCCTAGGCTCTTCTGCATGCAAGAACCATGAATCCAGGGGGGGGTGAGATTCTACCGGTTTGGACCGGTTCTATAGAACCGGTTGTTATCATTCTCCCCAGTTTAGAGAACCGGCAAATCGTGGCCCTGGCTGGCCCAGCCCCTCTCCACCCTTCCCTTCCCTCCCTTCCCAGTCAGTCCTTATTGCACATGTGCGAGATCACATGCCCGACATCGCTGACTGCGTTCTTCCCTGCCCAGTCACTCCTTAAGGTATTTCTTTTTTTCCCTCCCAATGATCAGCTGTTCCGACGATCAGCTGTGCCGACGATCAGCTGTGCCGACGATCAGCTGTGCCGAGATCCCCCTCGCTGTCTTACTGCTTCACCCAGGAGGCTTCCCTGAGGCTCAGAAGGCAAAAGGGGGCAGGGTGTGTGTGCAGGGGTGGGGGGTGCAGGGGTGGGGGGCTCCCTCCTTTTTTTTGCTTTCCTGTGCTCCAGAGAAGCTTCCTGGGAGCCAAAACGCCCCCGAGGAGGCTTCCCTGAGGCCAAGAAAGCCCCAAAATGGGAGGGGTGCTGCAAAAAAGAAGCAGCAGCCACGCCCACCCAGTCACATGGCCACGCCCACAGAACCCGTTGTTTAAAAAAATTGAATCCCACCCCTGCATGAATCCCAACCTCTTTTGACCAATCTCTTTGGCTTTCTTTTCTCAGTTCCTCCCAAAATACATCTGAAGATGATTCCACCTTCCCCCGTCCAGCTGAACACCTCGGTGATGGTCATTTGCGATGCGGAAAACTTTTATCCAGGAGATGCAGCAATGGGGTTGTTTGCCAGGGATGCCCCAGGGGGAAAAGGAATGGTTGCCCCCCAAACGTTGAATCCCGATGGCACTTATTCCTACAAGAGCTTCATGGAGGTGATGGCCACCGAAGACAGGAACGCCTCCATTTTCCTTTGCCAGGTCAAGCACGATTCCCAGCCTCTGGTCAACGAAACCACCAGGCTCTTCATTACAAGGCCGCTTAAAAAATCAGAAAGTAAGTGTGGACTTTCAAAACTTTCCTTTCTGGGGTTTTATTGACGTACAACCCTGTAGGGTTGCTGTTGTTTTTTTCCAGATTTGTTTTACACTAAATGAAATTAGGCATCAGAGTAGGTCGTCCTTGACTTACGGCCACCATTGGGCCCATGTTGCCTGTTGTTAAGTGAAATGCGGGTTCAATGGGTTCGGCCTTTCTTGCTAAGTGAATCTTTGTAGCTGTTACCTTAGTAGCACAGTTATTCAGTGCAGTGGTCGCCAACTGGTGGGTCGTGGCCCACTGGTGGTCGGCAAGAAAATTTTGGTGGTCCACAGAGAAATGTCACCCCGAGAGCACCCTCAAAGCCATTAATCCAGGCTGCGCAGGAACACAAGGCTGTGCCGCCCACATGGCCTGTCCTCCTGCCCACTTACTCCTTACCTAGCAAACTTGCTTGCTGAGTTGCTATTTTTCCTTTATCCGACCATCAGCTGTTCTGCCGTGCTGGGAGATTTAGATTATCTAGAAAGCAGGAAATCGTTGGATTTCTTGCTTTATAACTAATCTTTAGATCTTTGGCTCTGCTTTTAAGCAGAGCGGGACCTTACTTAGGACTGAAGCAGTGCAGACTGAGCTAGCTGATGGCAGAAACACAGGTCTCTAAGTGAATCTGTGATTCTGTGAGCGACTCAATCTGCCTGCCTGCTTTGCCTGATTTTGGGTAAAAGTTGCTCTTTCTTTATAAAAAAAAAATCACTATGTATATAAATATTTATAATATTTACATACAAGCCATGCCCAGCCAGTCACATGTCCACCAAGTCACACTCACAAATTAGGCTATGCCCACAGAACTGGTTGTTAAGAAATTTGAAATCCCACCCCTGCTTGTATGTATGTGTGTGTGTGTCTGTGTGTGTGTGTGAAAGAGAGAGAGAGAGGGAGAGAGGTTAGATCAGATCTCTCTCCCTCCCTCCCTCTCTCCCTCTCCCTCTCCCTCTCTCTCTCTCTCTCCAATGTCAGCAAGCCACCATCAGTCAAAATTCATACTAGTGGTCTCTAAGGTCCAAAATTATGAGTTTGGTGGTCCCTAAGGTCCAAAAGGTTCAGTGAATCTGGCTTTCCCATTGTTGTGGTCCGCTGGCAGCCTGCGGAGATGGCAGCAGCATCGGACAGCGGAGAGGAACATGGGCCAGTCCTGGAGTCTGGGGAGGGCTCAGACAAGGGTCCTTCGTCCCACACAGAGATGGGGCCAGGGGCATCAGGGAGTTATGTGCTGACTCCGGAGCCTCCAAAATCTGACAGCAGCGAGGCAGAGGAACTAGGGAAGCCTGTTCCCAATGCGCGCGTGCACAGAGCTGCCAGAAGGCAGGAGTAGTTAAGACAAAAGTGGTGACTCAGGAATAAGGCTCCCATAAGATATAAAGGAAGTGCAAAGGGACAGGAACCTTTGCAGGAAGCAAGGTTGTTTGCTCTGGTCGGTTTGGAACCTGAAAGCTCCGTGGTGAACTTGTGCTCTGTTTTGGTTTTGAGAGACTAATTGGTACTTTAGCCGTTGGCAGCACTTCAAGGAAGATAAAGGTGGGTTCTTATCAGACTTCTCCCGAAGGACTTTGGCAGACTTCCATGGGACTATTTATAATTGGTTGAGACTCATTACGGGCTGTGAAGGACGAACAGCCATCGAACTAAAATAAAAGGGTTTTGGATTTAATGTGTGTGTGTTGGTGCCTCAGGAAGCCTTGGTCACAACACCCATTGGCTGTCCTTGTCAGAAGGTCGCAAAAGGGGAACGCATGAAGGCCACTGCCACCATCATAAATACGAATCAGTGGTCAAGCACCTGAATTTTCATCACGTGACCGTGGGGGGCGCTACAACAGTTGTGTGCAGTCACTTTTTTCAGTGCCGTTGTAACTTCGAAAAATCACTAAGCGAACTGCTGTAAGTCAAGGACTACTTGTATTTCCTGCTTCTGCGTAGTTCCCATTTTCTTTGTGATCCTTTCCAGACTAAAAGCAAAACTGATTTCCAGGAAGTTTTTATGTCTTATATATAAACATACTAGCTTTGTACCCTTGCTTCACTACAAAACTATGTGTTCAGGCTTAGTTTTTTTGGGAGGAAAATAAGGGGGGGGAATTCTGCCTCTGCCTACCAGCATCCATCGGTCTTCATCTGGCTAGCGTCCTGTCAGTGTGTGAGAGAGTGGAGGGCTGTTTGGAAAGTGAAACAGTATTTGCTGTGTGAGCAAGAAGGAGACAGCAAGGAGCCTGGGCGTGGCTTAGCTCAACTGTTCTGCACTAAAGCTGCTTGGTGCTGTGAAACTGAAACTGAAACTCCTCTCCTCTGCTTGTGTTTTGCATTTGGAAGAGATTTCTTTTTTTCAGGTGAGGAGGGGGAGTAGAACTCCTTAGCATCAGAGCGTGTTAATAATAATAATATAGGACAGTGGTCACCAACCAGTGGGCCAGGGACCACTGGTGATCCATGAGAAAATTTTGGTGGTCCGCAGAGAAATGTCCCCCACCCCCATAGTAATTAATCCAGGCTGTGCAGGAACACAAGGCTTGCGTCACTTGCATTGCAAACAACATGAGGTAGTGAGGGGAGGGAGGAAAGGGAAGAAGGGGGAAACTTGCCCCACATGCCTCACCTGGCCACCGGGCTGCTTCTTTCCACTTCTTTCTTCTTCTGCTTTTGGCTGCACGCAAGGAAAGCAGCACAAGTCTTTCTTTCTCTCTCCCAAACTCCGCCAGGAATGAGTCTTTGGGACCCTGCAAGGCCTCCTGCTCCAAGAGGCTGCACTGGCAAAGACTCATTCCTGGCAGAGTTTGGGGGAGAGAAAGAAAGACTTCTGCTGCTTCTGCTGCTTTCCTTGCATGAAGCCAAAAGTCTCTCTGTGTGTGTGTGTGTCTATTCCATGAGAACGGAGCTGGAGATGGTATCCTGTGATTCCCAAATAAAGAACGATCAATTGGTAGGAAAACAGGGTAGGGAATTTTCCTGCAGACTTTTTTGGGGATTTTCCAGGGTCTCTGGTCTGCGGGATTTAACATGATGAGTTTGGTGGTTCCTGAGATCCAAAAGGTTGGCGACCCCTGATATAGGAAATACTAATGCTCTGATGGTCATTTCAAAAAATCCTTTCTTAGTGAGTCCCTAGAAGCCAAGAGGAACATAGGTGCCCAATTTCAAGTTTGTAGACTTTACGGTTCTGGAGATTTTGAGATGACGCGTGAGTGGTATTTCACTGATATATATAGATAGATTGTAGGAATTGGGTAAGTCTAATGCAGTGATGGCTAACCTTTTCCACGTTGCGTGCCATGTGTGCACTCACGAGCCTGCACCCATGATGCAATGCGTGCGTGACTCCCCCCTCCCCTGAGCATGCGCACGTGACCCTCTGCATGCACACAGTGTGTCTCTGTGCCTCTGCGCATGTGCGCGCAACCCCCCACTCACCACATGCCTCTGTGCATGCGCACATGTCTCTCATGCGCATCTCCCCCAACACATACGCAGCAGATACTTGACAATCAGCTGGCTGGTGGGGGTGCACACACGCATGCACATTAGGGCTCCTCTGGGCGACCTCTCATGTGTCGGCAGAAATGGCTCTGCATGCAACTTCTGGCACAGGTGTCATAGGTTTGCCCAGGGGTGGGATTCAAAATTTTTAACAACCAGTTCTGTGGGCGTGGTTTAGGTGGTGAGCATGGCTCATGTTATTGGCTGAGCGTGGCCAACTCAATATCACTCACATCGAGGCATGCATCTCCTCTCCTGGCCTCTCATGACTGTGGGGATGCTGCAACAGTCGTAAGTGTGAAAAATGGTCATAAGTCACTTTTTTCAGTGCCATTGTAACTTTGAATGGTCACTCCACACTAGCAAAGTACCAGCAAAGGAGGGGGGAAATAACTCCAGAGAAGTTCCTGAGACAGGAAGTCTAGTCCTGCCAAGAATGTAATAAGGGTTAACGGAGAGGCAGTTTCTGTAAGCAACACCAGAATGTTTCCTTCCTGCCTCCCTTACAGGATTAGCCCAGTAATTTCTTCTAACAACCGGTTCTCCAGACTGCTTAGAATGTTAACAACCGGTTCTAGCGAAAAGGTACGAAGTGGTAGAATCCCACCCCTGGGTTCGCCATCATGGGTCTAGTGAATAGAACAGGGGTGTTAAACTTAAGGCCAAAGGCAGCCTGCGGGGTGCTTACATCTGGCCCACGGGGCCATCCCGGAAACAGCAAAGGACCAGCCTGTTGTGCCTCTGCCAGTGAATACGGAGCTCAGGACCCCTCGTGAGCTCCGTGTTTGCTGGCAGAGTGCTCAAGCCACCACAAGTGCCCCCATCCTGCCATGCCCAGCCAGACACCCCCACACACACACACAGTCAAACACAACCATGAAGTGGCCCTCAATGAAATCGAGTTTGACACCTCTGGAATAGAAGGACTTGGGGTGACATGATAGCAGTGTTCCCATTTTTGAGGGGCTGCCACAAAGAAGAGTGGGGGTCAACCTCCTTTCCAAAGCACCAGAAGGCAGGGCAGGAAGAGTTAAGGAGAAACTTCCTAACAGTGAGGACAATGAACCAGTGGAACTGCTTGCCTCCAGAAATTGTGGGTGCTTCATCACTGGAGGGTTTCAAGAAGAGACTGGACAGCCACGTCTGGAATAGTATAGGGTCTCCAGCTTGAGCAGAGGATTGGACTAGAACAGGGGTCGCCAACCTTTCAGACTTCAGGGACCATCAAACTCATCCTTTTAAATCCCACGGACCAGAGACCCTGGGAAAATCTCCCCCCAAAAAGTCTGCAGGAAAATTACCCACCCTGTTTTCTTACCGACCAATCATTCTTTATTTGGGATTGCAGGATACCGTCTCCATCTCCATTATCATGGAATAGAGACAGAGAGAGGGAGACTTTTGGCTTCATGCAAGGAAAGCAGCAGAAGCCGCAGAAGTCTTTCTTTCTCTCCCCCAAACTCTGCCAGGAATGAGTCTTTGCCAGTGCAGCCTCTTGGAGCAGGAGGCCTTGCAGGGTCCCAAAGACTCATTTCTGGCGGAGTTTGGGGGCGAGAAAGAAAGACTTTGGCTGCTTTCCTTGCGTGCAGCCAAAAGCAGAAGAAGAAAGAAGTGGAAAGAAGCAGCCCGGTGGCCAGGTGAGGCACGTGGGGCAAGTTTCCCCCTTCTGGCCTTTCCCCTCTCCTCTCACTACCTCATGTTGTTCGCAATGCAAGCGACACAAGCCTTGTGTTCCCGCAGGCCATGTGGGTGGTGCAGCCTTGTGTTCCTGCACAGCCTGGATTAATTGCTATGGTAGGGCGGACATTTCTCTGCGGACCACAAAATTTTTCTCATGGACCACCAGTGGTCCCAGGCCCACTGGTTGGCAACCACTGGACTAGATGACCTCCAAGGTCCCTTCCAAATCTGTTATGTTGTTTTGTTAATCCACTGTCTTTTCTCCACAGACTCTCAGCAACAATCCACCATTGTTCTCTGCATCGCGCTTTTCCTGAGCAAAGTAGCCGTCCTTTTCATCTTTTACCTTTTCCTAATAAATGTGTACAGACATCACAGGACAAGATCTCATTCAGGTACATCCCAGGAAGTGAGGCAGCCTGGAAGTTCAAGTTAGGGACTCCTCTTCCTAACAGATTTTCAGGGTGAGAAAGGATCTGAATTGGGCGATCAATAATAATATTATTCAAATGCTTGTGTCATGAGCACTTCACTCTGCCAAATGTATAAAGTTATAAGCCTGTGAAATCAATTTGGAGATTAAAAAGAAAAACAACCTTACTTAGCTTTGCCACGTCTGGGACTTCATCAAATCTTCCTTAAAATGTAAGTGCTGATTCTTTGTTTTAAAAAGAAAGAAAGAAAGAAAGAAAGAAAGAAAGAAAGAAAGAAAGAAAGAAAGAAAGAAAGAAAGAAAGAAAGAAAGAAAGAAAGAAACTGAAGAAATTATTCTTTTGGACATGTATTGAAATAATTAGGAAAGAAAGAAAAATAAAAAGCATATAATTACAGAAGTTATTAAAGAACAAATGTATAAAAAGCATAATTCTGGGATGTTTTTTGCTTCTCCCTGAAACTCTCCTTTCTTGTATTATTCTACTAGCCATGTGTGATAATTCAGAAACTGTCACAAAATTATGTATTGTGAGTCTTACTCTATTAAATTAATAATATTTTAGTCCTTGGCTCCTTCTTATGGTTAAAATATCATCATTACAGGTTTTTTTTTGCATAAATATTAATTTATAGAATTTAGTAAAAATGAATAAAATAATACAACTTATACAGTTATTTATTTGCTTACAGAAGTTATAAAAGAGCAACTATTAAAAAATCAAATAATTCAGGAGTGTAGACATGTTTTTAAAATATGAAGAAGTGGTATAAAATGTTAAATGTCTACATTCAATACTCTTGTCTGTATGTTATTTGTACAGATAATTTTCCAGGAATTATGTCATTCTATAAAATTACATAATGGGTACAAAGAGAAATATGGTGTTGCTTTCAAATATTTTGCTGTACTTATTTGATTTAATTGTCTATCTTCTACTGGTTTCTGTGTCTTCAAAAAATGAACTCAAATAACTAAGAACAGTTACCATCAATTCACTTTTAAAAAAAAATTATCTGTATAATTTTTATTGAAATCATCAAAGTATAAAATACAAGTAAAACTAAAGAGAGAGAAGGGGAAGAGAGAATTGTGGAGTAAAAAAGAAAAAAAACATTTCCAATTCTTTTCAGTGCAGTAAAATAAAATCAATAAATATACAGCTTCATTTTTTTTTACTTTTGCATACTTAGTATATATCAGCCCTTTCTACAACAACAAAGTGATCGAACCAGCAAATTCCAAAGTCAGAATTTTATTTTTCTGCCTCAAGCACAAAATCTTAGAAGCGGTTTCTGTTGAGGTAATTCCCCGTGAGGAGAATGAGCGCATACAGGGAGACGTATTTGAGAGAAGTGTTTGAATAATACACACACAGCACACAGATACACTGTACAGTAAATGTAGGTTTTTTACTTTCAATAAAGGTTTAAGCAAAGTTCAAAATAAGCAGTCCAAAGTCATCCACAGATAAAATCAGTCAGTTTTCAGTCCAGGGATAATCCAGTAACAAAGTCCAGGGTCAAAAACAGTTCAGTAACAGACTTACATCAAATTCATGAATAACAGTCAATTAGAAGGAACAGCAATATTCTCCAACAGAAGGAAAAAAAGACTCACTGAGACTTCTTCTGAGACTAAGACTAAACAACCTAGGTTTCTGGCTCCATCTTATGGCCTTTTGAGAAAACACACTCAATTACACTTTTGGATTTTCTTAAAGATACAGTATTAAAATGTCTATCCTGGTTTATATATTTCCAACCCAAATACCTGTTAGGTGACTTATATTCCTAACAGTTTCCAAGTAGAAACACAGCTGGATGTATTTTATAATGATTATTAAAGCAATTAATTTGGCCATTTCTGCTAGTTCTGTCAGTTTTTCCAGCCATACTTCCATTTTGGAATTACAGTATCCTTCCATTTTTGCACAGTAAGCATTGTTGCTTTAGTCTAACTTGGTACAAATCCAGTTGCTTGTAAGTGTCCATCATTTCTTGTTTAACCTTAAGGGTTTTGCTTCCTTAGTTTTTTCTATAGAATTCAGTCTAAATCTTTGTTCTTGATAGAGAAAAATCACCTTTTCAGATTTGTTCCAATGAAATGAAAACTTTCTCTGCTTCAAAGTATCTGGAAGGAATGCCTTTCTCTTTCAGAATTACTACCAACCTGCCTTCCATCGAGGACCTGTATACTGCACGAGTCAAAAAGAGTGCTGTGAAAATATCTACAGACCAGTGGTGGGATTCAATTTTTTTTACTACCGGTTCTATGGGTGTGGCTTGGTGGGCATGGCAGGGGAAGGATACCGTAAAATCTCCAGTCAGAGGTGGGATTTGCTGGTTCTCCAAACTACTCAAAATTTCCACTACCAGTTCTCCAGAACTGGTCAGAACCTGCTGGATGCCACCTCTGCTACAGACCCTCACATCCAAATTGTTTCAACTGCTAACCCTCAAAATGACGCTATAGGACACTACACAACAGAACAACTAGACATAAGGACAGTTTTTCTCTCGAACACAATCATTCTGTTAAACAAATAATTCCCTCAACATTGTCAAACTATTTACAGAGTCTGCACTATTATTACTATTAATCTTCTCATCATTCCGATAACCCATCTCCTCCCACTTAGGACTGTATGACTGTAACTTTGTCGTCCTTACGGTTTATATTGACTGTTTCCTAGTATGATTTGATTGCTGATTTGACTATCATTAAGTGTTGTACCTTATGATTCTTGATGAATGTATCTTTTCTTTTTATGTACACTGAGAGCATATGCACCAAAGACAAATTCCTTGTGTGTCCAATCACACTTGGCCAATAAA